AAAGCGGACATAGAGAAGCTGATTTACGTTCGGTCCGAGTCCTAGGCAGTTCCTAATTCAGGCTCGCCACCAACTAAAAATTTTGATAAGGGAATTGGATGGAATAAATTTCAGGTTCATGGTTTTGGCACCATAATTGAGCTTAAAAAATATGAAATTAAATAGAATAAACAAATAAAATTTACTAATAATAATAATATTGTAAATTTATAATAATATTGATATTAAATCTTCACTAATTATAATAAATATTAGTGAATAGGGTAAACACACCATATTCCGATGCCTTAAGGACGTAGCAAGAAATAAATGGCTATAAATAGATCGCCGTATGCACAACTCAAGTTCTGATTGGTTTACGTCATTTTTCAAAACACCACACTATGCGGCAGCAATGATGAAATGTCACAAACTGTTGCCATATTTATTTAAACGCCTTTAGAATTCAAATCTACAAAATTGCTGAATTCCGGCATGTGTGTGACTGAATGCGACATAATGTGAGACTAATTCCGACAGCGCTTCAAAGTCATAATTCGTAATTCCGACACCCTGTGTTGGAATTCCAATACCCTGTGTGAGCTGTGTCAGGATACAACACACGGCTGCGTGTCATAATTCCAACACCGTGTTGGAATTAGTTTTTATGTGTCTAAAACTGTCTCTTAAATCAATCATCAATTAATTTATTTACCACTTAAAATCAGCAAATACAAGTATACTTAAAGGATTCCTAATCTATTCACAGACTTATTTAAAAGTCTCAAACCATAATATTCTTTTTACACAAACAGTTTATCACTATTTGGTAGAGCAAGGTCAACTATCAACTTTCACACATGTTTTGATGTTCTCACAGGGTGACGCGGACTTTTGCTCTGGGGATCTTAACATTTTCCCGCTAGACCTACTGTTTTGTGGAAATATTGCATGCAATGGTATGACATCACTATTTCAACCATCTACGCATGCGTGGAACTAAGACAAAGCTTAATATAAAGGAAATGTTGAGAAGTGTCGGAATTACCTACAGTGTTGAAATATGGTGCGTTTACCCTATTTAATAATGAACTCAAACCATTGGGCCATATAACCTCTAATGTTGCTAAAATCTTTGAAATTGGCTACTAGGAAACCTATGAAAGATAGTTTTTCCAATAAAAGTGCTGAAAATTGGCCCATTTTTGGGATGGAATTTTTCAATATTTTTTTTCAGATGTATAATTTCCAAGATGATTAAAGAAAAGAAAAATTTTGGTGCTCCTACCTTTTTTTGTAGACACAAATAGAGTCAATTTTAACAGGAATATGCATGCAAATAGTTCTACCTACAGTATATGATGATGATTTATTTTCAAGAGCACACAATAAATTACATTGATAGAAACAATGATGACTATAATCATCATTCATCTTACCATCAAAACAAAGGATGATCGACATATAACAATATTAGAAATATCAGAGAATAGATAATTTCTTCATTGCCTAAGGTGAAAATTTCTTCGCGACGAGTCTTCAATAAGTTTCTAACTTTGCGGAATGATACATGATAGCACCAGATTCATCAAAACAATCATGTTGATGTGCTGAATGTACAAATTTATTCAGAATGGATTTGCTTCAATCTTGGAATATAAGTAGTTATTATCAATATGCTGCAGTAGGGATTATTACAGATTTTTACATTAATTTGTTTTCAAATTTTTTGAGCAACCTAACCACTCAACTCATTTCCACTCACTCATTTTCAATATTTAAAATTAAGGTGAGAAAACTTGAACATGGACTCAATAACTTTGATGAAGCGCATGTTGTTCACACATTGGGTAGGTTATAGACTGTTAGTTGTGTGTTTGCCTAGTCCCGACTTGCAATAGTTCCTCAAAAATTGTTTATAAAGTACTTTTCAAAATATAATTTCAAACATTTTTTTCAGGGATTTTTTAGAGCTAGTAAATGTATGATTTTTTTAACTTTCGTTATTGTACATAGATAGGAAAAATGCTGAAGTTTATGCCACTAATTTTAGTTTTGCAAAAATATTCCAATTGGTTTTTCTGCTATAACATTTATGCACCATGATGGAGGACTGTTCCAATTTACCCCACCAGTCCCTTATTGCCTTATTTGATGGTACCATCAACTGGGGTGACTTTGGCCACCACTACAACAAAAACAAATGGCAGCAAAGCAAAATAATAAACGTTGGAAAAAGTGACTGGGGTGACTTATGCTAATGTTTATTATTTTTTTCTGCTGCCATTTGTTTTTGTTGTAGTGGTGGCCAAAGTCACCCCAGTTGACAGTATGTATAATTCATCTTGCCAAAATTTTGAAGCTCCAGAAATGGAAAAAAATTCCTAAATTCAATTCTGTCAAAAATTATATTTTTTAATTTTCATGACGAAAATTAAGAATGATCCATGCTGAAAGTGAGGACAAAGTGGAGTGAAATGAATGGTGGTTTGTATATTCAAGATCAATCTAACCTAATAAATTGCCAAGTTCCAAAATATCAGCCAAGTTTTTAACACGTTCCCTGCGTATTGAGCCATATGTGTACCAACAGTGATATTCCACTGCTGCGTATTGGGACACCAGTGTACCAAATGCAGTATTTTATGCCGTTTTGAAAAAACACCGATAACTCGAAATTTCGCACTTGAACTTTCTCTTTTATTATATTAATGTTCACTCAATAAGTGGATTATTAAGTGAAACAAATAAATGGACCAAAATTTTATTGGTAAATATCCTTAAACAAACGATAGTAACTGTAAAAATTCTAACTAATAATTCCCTTCTATTCCCTTCTGTTCTCTTCTATTCCCTTCTGTTCCCATCTATTCCCTAATATTCCCTTCTATTCCCTTTTATTACCTTTTATTCCCTTCTATCCCCATCTATTCCCACCTATTCCCTTCTATTCCCTTTTATTCCCTTTTATTCCCTTTTATTCCCTTTTATTCCCTTTTATTCCCGTTTATGACCTTCTATTCCCTTCTATTCCCATCTATTCCCATATATTCCCATCTACTCCCTTCTATTCCCTTTTATTCCCTTCTATTCCCTTCTGTTCCCTTCTATTCCCTGCTATTCCCTTCTATTCCCTTCTTTTCCCTTCTATTCCCTGCTATTCCCTTCTGTTTCCTTCTATTCCCTTCTGTTCCTTTCTATTTCCTTCTATTCCCTTCTATTCTTTTCTGTTCCCTTCTATTCCCTTATATTTCCTTCTATTCCCTTCTGTACCCTTGTATTCTATTATGCTACATATATGGCTCAATAAATACTTGGTACACCGGTGGTACAATACGCAAGAACAACATGTGTTTATTATTTGCTTGCATAATGTACCACATTTGTCCCAACATTTTTATTGCAGCTATGCAAAGCTATGATGCCATAGAGCTGCACACACCTCCTCTTGTCACGGCCAATGGCGCCTAACGGAAGCAGCAACCACTGAAAGCCTTCCGCAATAAGGGAATACTGGGGAAATCTGGATACGCGGGGAACGTGTTAAAGGTATTTAAAGTCTTGGGCTTTAAATTCCATTAATAGATTTAAGCTTTTGTGTGATGCCTGATAAGTTATTCTTCAGATGCAATTAGGTTAAATTAAATTTGATAAGGCCTAGGTAACCTTTGAGTTGGTTGTTTGTAACAATTCTGCACTACCCAGGAAGTATGGTAGTGGCGTGAGGACATATATGCTGTAAAATGTATGCTTCATGCCATCTCCCAGGGCCATATGCATGTGCTGTTTACTTAGATTATAGTCCACTTAATGCTTGTGTTCTTATTTAATACCCAAGTACAATTTGAGTTTGCTAAATTTGACAATTTTGAGGCTGCTAAATTTAACAATTTTAGGCTAAAATTATTGTACACTTCATCTAAAAAAATTTCAGAATTTAATTATGTTGTTCTGTAGTTTAAATTTTGTAGAGTATTTATTGAGATTTTGTAGGTAGTATTGGATTTCAATATAAACTAATATTGAATTCTGATTACAGTGGTATAAAAGATTTTAGACAAGTACAAAATTATTTGGGTGAAAAATGGGGTGGTTGAAGAGGCATTATTAGTAATAATTTTGCTCATGTTCTGCCCATTGAACAGTGCTCCTAAATAACCTGTGTCTGAGTGACAGTGTGATCCACTCTGCTGTGATTTTATTCTCCAGTGGAGGCACTCAAACACAACTCGTAGATATTTTGTCAACAGCTTTTAATTTTTACTTGCCCATCTGATGCAAAGATAACTTAATCTATTGCAGTACGTACTGTTGATAGCTAAATAACACATTCATTTGCTTAATATATATATATATTTTAAGCACAATGAAGTTTTGAACTAGCATGAAAAATGTCCCATTGCATTGAGCATGCCATGATGTTCTGACTGGAGACTTAGGAACAAAACTTCAGAGCAGAGGAATAGCCACATTTTTTTCCCACTCGTACAATATAATGATAAATTGAGGGCAATGAGTAAGTCTCTTTCAATATATTGAGTAGTCAATATCAGACCCTTTCTTCTTTCTCAGTTGCTCCTCCTTGCACATGTCTGAAAGTTCTCTGGAACATTACGTACTACCTATATTATTAATCCAAATTTATCTTTGTTTCATTACTCTTAAATTATAAATATTGAATTTCACTTCTATAACTGAGAAACAATGGCCATTTATAATTAGAGAAAAGGAAAGGATCTTTGTTGGTCAGCTGTTGATATAACTTCCCATATTATTTGTCTTCACACTTATAATGCTGTCAAATTTATGATAATTTTAGTTAGGAGAGAAAATGTATCTTCAAATTAGGTCCGCAAATTTATTCTCTTGGCTGCTCATATTATTTTTATTCAGTCTTGTTCTGAATAAGATGCCAAGTTTATTTGGCTAAAAGTCTATCAGCCATAGCACAAATTTAGCTTTTGTTTCCTATTAATCTACCATTGAATTTTTATTCTCCATTTGTTTTTCTTCCAGTTGTAAGGCCATTGCAGCTTTTATTTCTTACAATGCTGTTGGGAAGCGTTCCCGAAAAATAGTTGAGATTAATTAAAGACCACATTATTGCAATAAATTATGGATGAACATGTAATCAATGTTTGTACGAGTAGAAGTGTCAGTCAGGCTGAGAGTGTGGAGCCAGAAGTTACTACTGCTTCTTGCTTAGATGCTCAGGATGAAACAAAAATAGAGCGTTTAGGAAACACAAGCAACATTAAGAAGTCGTACGAGTCATGTGATTGGCCCGAGGCAGACTGCATCAGTCACTGCTCCAGTGACTGGAGTGACAAGAAAAGTAGCTCCGACTCTTTAGACTGGAGCGCTCGTCGCGTTGTCGACGAAGATGGCAAGGAAAATGTAAGTTTGGGAGGACCACGAAGACGGTGGCGCAACAAATACAAATTGAGCAACGACAGCGGCGTAGCAATCAGTGCAGTGAGCAGTGTATGCAAGAAGAGTGTCGGTAGTAGCAACGGTAGCGCCGATAACCTGTGTTGTAATAGCAATGGTTTTGCCGTCTCTCGCTCTAACAACAGCCTCAATGAGTCATGGGACAAGAGCTCTGATTGTCTTAGTGCAAACCGCAGTTCCGAGAGCATCAGCATGTTCGGCAACAACGTTGACAGCGTCGAGAGTAGCTTGAGTCTCATGAACAGTATCGACAGTTTCGCCGCTAATAAAAGTTCAGATAGTTTGAACCTGAATAATCAAGCACAAAACGCTACTGCAGATGTCATTAGCAGTAAATGCAAAAAGCATTCTCCATCCACGTGTAAGAAAAATTCCGATTCGCAATCAAAAAACAATGATCGTAAGTCACTCAAAGGTGTGAGCTTTTACAAAAAATTGAAGGCCAAGTGTCGGCCTGATAGCAAATTACGAGAATGGAAAAGTCGTACTAATGTGTCCTGTGATATTGAATGGAGCGAATTCAATAGAACTGATGATCCCCCTAAGAGTGACCAAGTATTTTTCAACTCAAGTTGTGAAGTGTTGGATCGTTTAAGCTTTAATAATACAGAATGCTCGTGCTATTTGCAGGGTCGTGATGGAGTGTCACGATCGAACGATAATTTTAGTCGCGTGTCGCACGACACACAGAGCTGCATTGTAACGCAAGACAACCCAGGCTGCAAGAACAAAGTCCGGGCCTCTTGTGATGGCGGTGCTGGGCCTCCTCACCAAATCGAAAACGAAAGTAAAGCCCAGGATGCTCAGGGCAGCAACTACTTAATGAAAAGTCTGGATTCATGTGATAATTATTCTGGCAGTGAAAATTATGGTGTGCAGGGGCCGTTCACCCCTAAGTCATCACGTCACAGTCTCTTCTCAAACAGTACTCCCAATTCTTTATCATTGACCCCAAAATCCCTCTCCTCCACCTCTGAATCGCTGCTTGAAACACCTGACCATATCAATAATCCCTTACTCACCAATTCTTTCCAGTCGTTTATCGACACTCCGACATCAATATCTGCCTATTACCAGCCCAATTCGTCTCCTCAGTCTCTTCCTCAATCTTCAAGTGCCGTCAATCAAAGTGGCGTTAATAACGGACTAAGTTCAGCTAATTCGTTCGTGTATTCTGCCTCGCCGTCGGATTCACTGAAGGTCCCAACAGCTAGAATACCCATGTCTCATGGAGAATCGCCAAGTGCGCTAAATTCTCAAAACTATCTTACTCTCAATATGGATTCTTTTTCGAATACTCCGAATTCAGCTTTGAACACACCTGGTTCTGCATCCAACTTGTCGAACTCTTTGTCTCGACCGGCACCTGCTGTGTTCTGCCAAGCGGGACTCTGCTACTCCCAGCCTGAGTCCTTTTACCAGCAACAGGGTGACGGGTGCTCGGGCGTGCTAATATCTCACGGCAACAGCCGCTTCTATTCTCTATCTACCGACACCTTCGATGCTGCTTCAGCCACCGCCGCCTCGTGTGACCCGTACCCCTCTGTTGATGTTCAGCCTGACTGTGATGGCGCTTGTGGTGAGTGCGACCCGAATTTAAATTAAACCTAGGAGGCTTATTGCCTTGATTTTCAAGCTTATTCAAGGAAGCTTTTCTCGCTAATTCTAACATGTGAATAATTTATATGTCATTTAGTATCTTACTTTTTTTGGAATGCTTACGACCTAAATCTTCAACACTATATTTTTCAGAGTTGATTTGTTTCGTGAGTATTTTGGAGCCTGGCGCTGTAAATGTCTCGGTATCCGTAATACCTAATCGCTTATCCGTTTATTGTCTGAGTCAAAAGTTGTATTACGTATTACTACTGGAATCGTGAGAGATACATAAACGGGATTGGGATTAATAAGTGAAGGGAATTTATACAAACGAATAAGTGATTCGTGCATTAGTACCTGTACATTTTATTAAAGAAATATTAAATCAGACTTTTCATCAAATACTAGAACGTGCGTTGAGTAAGAGTTTAATGCTATATGTGGGTTGGAACGTGACTTCAAACGCCCGGTTAATCTGTTGATAAATGATATTCATAACATTATGTAGAAAACTTTGTAACCCTTTATAGTGAATGCTTTCACATTTGAATTATAATTTGCTCGTAATCACGTGATGCAAGACGCATTTGTAAAATTATGCCGATACGTACCGCCTGTCCGATTTCTCTTTCAGTTTTCATGTTCAGTGATGCTATTTAGCAATTATTTTCTTCGTGTAATAACATCACTTGCGAATATAATTCGTAGTTCATAAGTTTGCATTAGATTTTATGTCTTTAAAAATGTTATAAAATTGTAATTTATTCCAAATGTCCTCTTCTATATTTGTAAAGAATTTCATCGTCAAAAATATTTCACTAGCCGTTAGTTGAGTTTCAGTAACGTTTTCAAGTATATTAAATTTCGGGATCCAGTCTAGATATATTTCGACAAATAATAAATGCAAGACAAGTAGGTAGGTACCATTTACGCGAGCTTGTCGGTCTACTTATGATGGTTGTGCGCGTGTGGTACAGGGGAAGGCGAGGGCGAGAGCGCTACCAGCAGCGGCACCAGCAGCTCCAAGAGCTACGATTATTTGCTCAAGTTCTTGCTGGTGGGCGACAGCGACGTTGGCAAGCATGAAATATTGAGCGGACTTGAGGATGGCGCCTCAGAGAGTCCATACTGCGTCGGCAGTGGTGGGTATCGCTTCATATTGCTAAGTTCTAAAGCGTACTAATTTCAATTTATTTCCATTTTGGCGATAGGATGTTTTTTTATTTGGTTTCGTTCTTTTGCATTTATTTCAATAAATTGTTGGCGATGTGTAAAATGACCATTTTGTGCAGTTGTCTTTACTTGTTTAGCAGACCTGTTGCATTATCATCTCACATTCTACCTGTTTGTGAGACCTTGATTCTTGAATAATGTACGAAAGAGTTTCTTGCTTCATCGCTCAGATGATTACTGGCTGCGAATTAATATTTGAATTGAACTGCTTCTACCTATACCTACTTCTTCGTAATTACTCAACGAGTAGATGCTTATGCTTCTGGTAGACTGTTATTACAAACTACACTTCCAAGAGAAAATTTCTTTGTTTCGAAGAATTTACTCAAGAACCCTCATGAGCAGAAGAGTAAATGCATTTTCAAATTTTATTTCATCATCGTTGCTTCATTTCTTGACTTAGAAAATGATTTGTTATGCTTCTTATACTCAATTTTTCTTGATTTGCGATCTCATCACTAAACTAAATCGTATGTAGCACAAGTGACTGGAACTACGACAGCAACCGTCAACCACAACTTGAGCTGTCATCTTCATAGCGGCGCTACCGCCAATAAGAAGTTCTCGCCATTTTTCCGAAAGACAATCGTAGGCTAACGCGGCGCCTTGTTTAACGCTGTAGAATAGTGTAGAATAGTGTAGAATAGATGAAAAGTGCGAGGCCAAAGATAGGCTTTAAGCGCATACTTAGTAAAATCAAGACAGTATGTATGACTATTTCAACAAAATTCATAAATGAATTTTGTTTATAATCAATTTATTAAGAGCAATGCCCAGCCTGATACATGTCACGTGTTTTTGTTCAGGTCACAAGACTACGGTGATTTTACTGGACGGGAAGCGCGTGAAGCTGCAGTTGTGGGACACGTCAGGCCAGGGCCGCTTCTGCACCATCATCCGGAGCTACAGCCGCGGGGCACAGGGCATCCTGCTCGTCTATGACATCACCAACAAGTGGTCCTTCGAGGGCCTCGACCGGTGGATGCAAGAAATTCAGGAGGTCACTTGCAGCTTCAAGAAAAATACATGGAATACACGCAGATACTCTTTGTTCACGAATAAATTATCTAAAATGAACATTTACTGTTTTAACAATTAAGAATTGTCGGAATACTTTCCGATTCATAGGCTTGAATATTTCGTTGTCGTATCCAGTTTGACAGCGACAGTTGATACATTACATTTCGAACCCTTGTCATTTAGGCATTGATTTTTCTTTCTCTTAACTAGAAAGATGGGTGAAAATTTTGAGAATTGCTGGGACTCTTCTACAACGAAATGATTTACTTTTATAATGTTGTGTAATTTTTTATGCGTTTCCAAGCAGATAACAAAATTTACTAAATGAAATTCGAAATTACGGTATACATCTATGTTATTTGAAAAATTGAAGGCTTTACTTGTTGCCATCAAATTTTAAATAACTGAATCGCCAACCTTGAGTTATTTTCCTGTGCGATACAACTCCTCCCGCAAATTTATTTCAAATTGCGAACATTTCTACTGGTAAACATGAGGATAAATAGATAAATATTGAGGTGATTCTCATCGATGAGTGGCAACAATGTTACTATATGAGAAAGATTAATATTGGCCTCCAGCGATGTGTGTTTAACTGTTGATGTGTGTGCAGCACGCGCCCGGTGTGCCCAAGGTGCTGATCGGCAACCGCCTGCACTTGGCATTCAAGCGCCAAGTCAGTCAAGGACAAGCCGAGCAATACGCAGCCAAGAACAGGATGGGGCTGTTCGAGGTGAGTCCGCACCTTCGTTGTTGAATAATTCTTCGGTGGAGTGGTGGAAAGAAAGCTTAAATTCAAAAATATTGATCTGGCACTGATAGGCATGCTGTTTTTCAATTTTAAACCAGTCACTAATGATGAATTGACGACTACGTGCACTTAGAAGACTAATTGCTTTTAAGCAAGTTGTGAAAGCATGGCCCCAGGATACACCTCAGGGGGGACTTCTGACGCGTGTCTGCCCATCTGAAGTCCGATGGGATTTCGCATTCCTAGGGGGATTGTTCCTGAGCGCCCCACCGCTGAGCTCGCGGTGTCTGACTGTAGGTCTCAGTTGTGGGGTTAGTTATTATGTAGGTAGGATTCCTTACATTTCCCTTCTCTGTCTCTCTCGTGCGGGCGGCCGACGTCTCGTGTAAGCGACCTCATGTTCGAGTGTCTTCGTTTTTGTTACTTTTCACCTTTCTCTCCTTGTCACTTCGTCTCTTTGAGATGCTAACGCTGCTTCTTTCGAGCCAGTTAAAGCGGGCTGCACATCTGAGACCTTCCACCCCTTGTGGGGGATACCTATTTTTGATTTGAGAAACTTTTGATAATTGAAACCTTCCACCTCCTTTGTGATGTTCAACATGACTTTCAGTGCGAGATAGCTGAAGCGCTAGTAAACATGTAGCCACTAAACTAACTAAACCGGCCGCAGGTTAATTTTCAGGAAAGAATTTTCATTAGTGTAACGTTGACCAGGTTTTTATTACCGTGATTATCATCACAAAGCACGACGTTTGTGTCAGGTGTCGCCGCTGTGCGACTTCAACATCGTCGAGAGCTTCACGGAGCTGTCGCGTCTGGCGCTCAAGAGGAACGGCATGGAGAGGCTGTGGCGGGCCAGCAAGGGTGAGCATGTCTATGTGGCAGTGCGGCCTCTTGTTGAGCTCGTTACACCATAAAATGGACTGGTCTGAAATTCTTTCCATGTGATTATTCCAAATAAACCAATTTGATTATCTCAATGAATTCATCTGCAAATATAAGTCGCATCATATCAAATTGAGCTTTCTAAATTGAATATTCATTCGTAAAATTAAGGGAAGTAAAACGCAATCCATGAATTGCACCGATCATAACCTGCTTGTACCTCCCACTACTGATTCTATGAATCGAGTTGACCGTTCAGCTCATTACGAAATGTGCTTTATGATTATAATGAGTAACCTCAAGTAGATTATTAACAGCGCGTAGCGATAGATATTGCTGGCAGTGTTTAATGTTCACCTTGGCTCAGTGCTGTCGCTGCAAGAGCTGTGTTGTCGTACCATCGTGGCGGCCACTTCTGTGTACGGCATAGAACGCCTGCCGCTGCCTCCTGGTCTTCGGTCTACGCTCAAGAGCTACACCATCCAGAACCACGCCACACGCCTCAGACAGGTACAATATATAATACACACTATGCTTCATTGCATTATATTATACCAAATTGAAGCTAAGAGAATTGAATTTCCCGGCGGTACATTATAACATGCTGCATTAAAACTTGTTTACCTTGATGTGGTTCTTTGAATATCTTGATCTCAAAACCGAAATAATATTTATTCACTGTTTTTCAACCAGTAGATGGTTCACAGCAAGTAGTAAACGTGAATAATTTCTCTTACTGCTGGTAAAATTGGTACTTTCTGCTGGTTTCATTGCGTTGGCACTTTCAGGGCATCCCGGTCACGGACAAGCACAAAAAGAAGCACCTTACGCTGCCTGGCGACTGCGGCAACAATAGCACCAGCACTTCATGTGTCAACACCTCGACTTGCGTCCTGCAATGACTATTGCAACGACTGGTCCCGAGGTCCCGCGCCGCTGCCGTCCTCGGGCCCACGCGCAGAAAGTGTAAACGCAGCGACCAAGGAAGATGAACGCCGTCTTGACATATACCGTGCACATTGACGCCGAAAAACCATTGAAAAATGTTATCTTTTTGGTCGGTGTATAAATTATCAAAACCTTCACTCATTCTCAATGCAATGACAAGATGGTGAATTATACTCTTAACCATGTTCGACACGCAGTAGGTACTCATGGATATACCGACGAATTATTCATGATCAAAGATTTGTGTCTATTTATCTGCCTCGAAAATCTTCTTGGTGTATTAGAGCAAGAACTGACATTCAGTGGAACCTCAATGTCTAGTTCAAGCATTCGATAAGTAGATGATAGCAATCACGCACTGTAACATTATTATATACACTCATGACGATAAGTAATAGTGAAGCAAAGTCGCTCACAAGGTTTAAGGAGTAGTGCAATATCCATTATCCTTCAATGTCCATCTTGAGATCATTTACCGTGGCAGGAGATACGATGCTGAGCGAGCATTTGTAAAGCCATGCGTTTGATTTTTCTCCGATCTTGCCAAAATTATTACTCCTAAAGGCTTCTATTGGTGTTATTTTCGAACTGACGCCTTCATTTTTTCGACAAGAAAGTCAACCAACAAGCGATTACGTCTGTAACGAGTGCTGTTGTAACCTATGTGTCCATAAAACACGGGATTTTATCACATATTAATATAAGTGTATAAGGTACCATAATTTCCATCGAATGCCCTAACACACGTAATGTGTAGGGTTATTCTAAATGATTGACCCGATAGGATTTAACGAATTCGTATTTATTCGAGTATAATTTCAAAATGAATAATTTATACACTAATGGGAAGAGGAGGATTAAGATTCGAAGTTTTTTTTTTACAAATTTATAAATGTTCAATATTGTGTACCTTGTGTTACCCTTGTGCTGCACGGCAACATTTAAGCGGTAGCCAAACTCAAACTCGTCGCACACACGAGAAAGCATATCTTCTTTTACCTAGTGCACCGTAGCAGTGATACTGTTCTTCAGATCAACCAGAGTTGCTTATAGAGGCGGGACGTAAGAAGAGTTGCTGGTAGAGGCGGGACGTAAACACCTTCCTTGACGTAACCCCATAAGAAATAGTCACCTGGGGTGAGATCAGGTGATCTCGGTGGCTAGAAGTGTGGAGCCAGATCATCTTACACGAATTTCATAATTTGGGCTCATCATCTAGGATAACCCTTTACATTGTAGTTATGTTGAGTCAGCATGGCAGCGGCTCGCGCGTGTCGTCTGCTCTTTGTATGTCGCCCTGTCCATGACAATTAAGTTATGTCGTATCTGCTAATTGCTCTTAAGACTTCCCACATGAACCTTTTGCACCTTTTCTACCGGAGTTACGAGAGCCACTAGTATACATTAATATAGTTGTATTAGATTGTCGTGTAGATACTACTAAGTCATGTATAAACTTTTGATACCGTACCCACTTACTCTATAATCTTTGTATTCGCTAGGTTGCCCATGGTTTGGACAGATGCTATTTTCGTTAAGATTGTATTACTGTCGTTAGAGTAAGAGTCGGTGAGGAACTGAAGCGGTTGTGAGTTATCAATTTCATTGCAGGAAATGCGCTAGCGTTTCCAACTAGAGTCTGCGCATTAGAGTCCGAATTTTAGCACTATTACAACACATAAATTTCCCGTGTTCATTAATTAGTTACTGCTATTGTAACTAGAGGGATAGTCTATAATAGAGTTCAATATTCGTTGTCCGATACATTTTATCGTTATTTTTTTCTACATACATAAATCCAGGCCTCAACCTATTTTGGTAATTGCAATTTTAATGGAAAATAATTGATTAATTATAAATTAATTTTTTATTTCTGTTGCGTAGGACAAGACGCTGCATCGAACGAACTACTTGGAATATTCGGGTTGTATTTGGTGCCTGTCGCTCACCTCTTAATAAATCTTGTACGTCCTGCTGACTTGTAAATGCCCTAGCGCGCATCTCGCCACTTTCTATGTGCCCCCCCACACAGAGAACAGAATACAGTGACGATGCTTTGCGTCGAAAATAGCTAATTAAAATTAAACAAGATTTCTATTGAAAAAAAGCGTCCGTGCTCATATTTTGCCACTAAGACGATAGTTCGAAGGACCTACAGACTATTCCTCAGTATTTGTTTCGGACGTAGTAGTCCCAGGCCACGATGGATCACGTCCTCTGACTATCGCGCTTCCGCCCTCATTTGGGCCAGCTAATGCACGATGCGGTTGCACTCTTCATCCTCTCGTTATCTTCAAATCCTTATTACAATACGAGACTGAGGGAGGGGGCTATCATCTGGCGGCGCTGAAGAAGAGTTTGATGGCGTTGTCGAATGCGGCCTGAGCCACCACCTGAGGGTCCTCCTCCCGCGCCCCTGCCAGCGCCTCCAGCACTTGCCTGAGGAGCACCAAGTGTTACAGCACCACGCACCAAGTTACAGCACCACGCACCAAGTTACAGCTCACCAAGTTACAGCACCACGCACCAAGTTACACCACCACGCACCAAGTTACAGCACCACGCACCAAGCAAAAGCATTACACAAAAGACCGAAAATTCAAAACATAGAAGTTACTCATCGCACGAATAGATTTACAGCAGCACAATAACATCAATTATTGCAATAACAGTCACCAAATGAACTAAATGCAGGCCCATACTTTCATGCAAAACCATTCCCGTTTTATCAACTGAAGAATCGTAATTGCTGAGAGTGAGTAGAGCAGAGTTCATCATTTACTTTGTACAGTAAAAGCCAACTCTGACAAATGCACCCGGCTGCCTTGAAGTATAACTTACACAATACAAGCTGGCTCGTTCCTGCCCTTAACCATTGCCCCTGGCTGCCACTTTTCTTTCTTCCTGATATCAGCGAAGTGCGTCTTGACGTGGCGGTAGCCGGCGTGGGTTGCCTTCACTTCACACCAGGGGCTGTCGGTCTCCAGCAAGAGGCGCTCCAGAGGCACGCTTGCGGCCACCGCTAGGTTCTCCTCCGTACGCAGGGAACTGATGAGACATACAATTAGGGCATTTGAATAGGTAACGGGCAGCTGGGAATAAAGATATTATTTTAAATCAAAATAAGATAGGTTGCTGAATTCATGTTCGTATAATTGAGATCTCACCATCCGTTGATGCCTACATAGAGATCGAGGTCGAGGATATCGGCCAGCTCCTGCTTGGTGCCGTCGAATGAGTGCACTACGCCGCCGGCCACGCGGTCCCGCCACGGGGTCAGGATGGAGATCAAGTCAGCTGCGGCGTCGCGGCAGTGAAGGAACAGCGGCAGCCCCGACACTTCGGCCAGTGTCAGCTGCTGCTCGAAGTACCTGCGACCGAGTGCATTACTTGACTACGCAGCAGTGGCTTATAAGAGGGGGAGCCCTTAATCATTGAGAATAAGCGCTCCCCCTTTATTAAGCCGCATCTTCGTGGGCGCCGCCGAGCAGCGGTCCCGGGCAATTAACAACAACATAAGATTGAAATACGAAGCAGCGAAGTCTGAGGATCAGCAACGCCGACGTCCGTGGATCGTAGTACCAGCAGGAAGAATTGATTTAAAATCGTAGTAGCAAGCGATGAAATTTTTTGCTCGGCTAATGAATATAGCTATTTAGACAAAAATTTCATGAATGAGTAAGCTCAAAATTATTTTGAAAAGTAACAAAGAAATAAATGAGAAGATCAGAATTTATGAGTTTCAAATCAGCATAAAGTTGTGGTATATTTGTATGGACAAATGCAAGACTCCAAACTCTATTTATTTATAACTACATACTGACACTGAATCACTATATAACGTACTATTGAAATAAGTAGACAGATTTTTGAAAGTAACTACTAATCATTGTCAAATGAAAATATTAAAGTAGCCTACAATAAAACCATCATTGTAAGATTGTTATCCGCCCTACTGCGAGGGTAGAGGCGGATACCAACTTTCACAACATATAACTAGGCGTTACCACACCTGTTGTAAGGCCTAGCGCCCTAGCCAGTCAATTAGAGCACTTAGTTTCTTGTGTGTTGCGAGGCGGACTGAGTGATTATAGGCTGCAGTACGCTACACTCTGATACCAGTTTGCTAGTGTCCTGTAATTAGTGCTTATATGTATTATTGTAATACTCTCTCCTCTTGGATTATTCATGCCGATGTTTATTTATTCGTGCTATTTCTTTGTCTTGTAGGGCCAAGCAGAGTCTGTCTCCTCTCCACTTCCTCTAGTTCCGTTTACAATAAAGCTGCTGGGTGTACTAGAATTATTCTAAATATATTTGAAGACTGAGTGAATTATAACTTTGTATGACATCATTACAATCATTTTAGCGCATTTCTCATCTATGGAAAAAATGCACTATTGTGCTCGCCATGTCCGTCCGTCCGTCTGTCTGTCCGTCCGTGACTTCAACTTTTCGTCGACGAGAAAATGCGCTCTCTGTCACTCACTGCAGTGAGTACTGAGTTATATTTTTAAATGTTTCTTATTCCACGTTTGATGTGATCATCACTTACGTCTTCTGAGTGTCGGCGTCACAGAAATTGAGTCTGGCGTAGTCAAGCCCACACTCGCCCACCGCCACCACCACGGCGCGCTGCGGACCATCAACTTAATGCAGTTACGACTGATCCAGGGACAATCAAATGATGAAATGCCTCAACTTATGGACCTTAATGGAAATAAAACAGAAAGGAACCTACACAGCATGTACACTGGAAGAAAAATCACTACTGAACGGTCTCACCGGCGTTCGTGGCTGGCCGGCACGTGAAAAGAAACACCGTATGACCGTTTTTATTCAAACTTAACACTAGAAACCCGTACAACATATGAAAAAAAAAAACGAATAAATATTTTTTCACGTGGCGGCTGGCCACTGGAACCCCGGTGAGATCGTTTTTTACAGTCTTTTCGAACAATGTAATAACGTGGATACGTCAACAAAACTATTGATCGTATTGAATGATACGCAGTAGTTTTCACTTTCAGAAAATATCCTTGTAAATGAATATTGATGGAGAGAGAGGATTCTTACTTCTGTCTACACATATGAAATAGCCGCGCCTTAAAAGCAGGCAGTTTACTGGGAGGTTAACTAGGAAAAGTTTTCTTTAAAAATGACCGCCAGGATTGCCAGGGATATGACAATTACCTCAATGCACACAACTCCGTGTAAGCCAAGTATACTTGTATTGGAGCATACTAATGATAGAAATAAAGTTTAGTTCAGGACTCCCCAATAATTTCAATATATGAATTTGCGGGAAATACAATTTCAGGTGAAGCTAATCAGAAATTGTTAATTTCTGTTAACAAAGAATTGTTAACAAGACTGAGCAGAAACAGTGCCTCGGTCATCAAGAAATTACGCAATGGAAAGAGTTGATCCATCACGCCTGCGCAAGTAATCAGGGCAGGCAAATAACCTATTCCTTTTATAGAGGCAATAAATTGATCAGGTTTCAGACACATTGTTAACCTTGCCGTCAGCAGTGCAGCAGCCGTCCTGTATTAGCTGCAGGAGTTGAGCCAAGTACTCTTCTGGAGTCGATCCTTGTGCCGTGAACTCCCCGCAACGCGTCGGATGGCAGCCGACTGTGCAGTAGAGCTGCTCTGTACACAAAATATATTCCTTAACTTAATGAAATGAATACGCCATAGTAAATGTACGTGTCGTAGCTGCCATTTACCTAACGAGTTACGTGAAAATATGCTTGAACATATAGTAAGGTTATTCAACACTCACAAATCAACCACTAGCTAGGTGGCTACCTTAATGGAGTGGTGGGATAAATGAAAGACAATGCCCCCGGATGCGCAGGATGTTTAAGAAAATGGGCAAGCATCACAACGTAACGCCGTGATAAACGAAAATACGGCAGTCGAAGTGTTGCTCGGCAGTCACACGAGGCGTATGTTAAACGGACTAAATAAGCAGGTGATAAAGGCAACAGGATGACCAGGTTCGATCTACTGATGAATCACTTAACTCGCATTACTCTCGCTTATGATAAATGCGAGTTGTGGTTAACAAATTATCAATTTATGACCGATTGCGAATCGAAGAGGAAAGGTTATTTTATCTCGAAATAGAAAAGCCAGGTTCAAGTTAATAACTAAAAACGGGTCTATCAGGTTATAAATTCATCAAGTTCTTAACTTTTTTATCCTTATCAATGATGATGGAACGAACTGCACAAAACATGACGAGATATTTTCAGATCAGAATTACAAGCCCTCAATTGATAAACTATTCGTAAACCATTGTCTTGTTAACACAATTACATATCTTAGCGTTGCCAACACAACGTCATAAATATTAAATTGTTACAACTCTAACACAAACTATGTCAGAGAAAATAGATGCTATTATAGGAAAGTCAAGCGTTGTTCTGGGGTTAATAAAAAATGTTGAGGTAGTGATTTTTTCCCGTGGCCTTCTCTCCTCTATGCCGTAAAGTACAAATTGCAGCTTAAACTTTATTGAAAAGTTGCAAATAGAATAAATGTGGTAAACCTATATTGTGATCAACAGTGACGATTTCGTGACTTGCATGCAAGGAATTCTCTATAGACAATAATTTCAGAAGAATATCGTCTCTACTCATCTAGCGTGCAGGCTGCAAGGCATACTCAACTATTGGCACGGGCAAGTTGGACGGCTTCTCTGCTCTCCTGCAAGCTGGTGCCCGTGACGATAATTTTCTCGAGACCGGCGTGCGTCGCTCGCGCCAGCACCGCGTCCAAGTCTGGCGCGTGCTTCTTGCTACCGTGATACTCGCCCTGGTACATGCCGTCGCACAGGTTGGCCCCGATGTCTGTGCACCCAGAAACAACACGCACATTTTCAAATGTATAAGAATTACAAATAAACATCGTTTTTAAAAGGCCATATTTGAAAAGAAAAACTTTCTTTACAAATTAAATTTGCACAGTTTTTTAAGCAAAATTCCGAGCCTTAAACTTTACCTTCAGTACCACAAAGTATTAAGAATTTACTAGAAAGAGAGAGAGAGCGCGTCGATTCAAGATTAAATTTTATTTAATAGTTTCTATTTATAAACTTGAAACACTGACAAAAATAATAATTGACAACTGAAGTTTACTTATCTATACTCAACTTGTTACTCATTTTTTTCTAAATGATCCACACCTGATGTTAAGCGCTGCATAATTAAGGCAAAAACTCAATACTCTAAGTGGACTTTGGGAGGTGAGAACAATTCATCGAAAGAACATCATAAATAGAACAATTCTTCTAAGTGAAAAGAAAGACTAAACTTCAATGAGGAGCAAACAACTGCAGAAAATTCTTTTGATCACAGTACTCACCTATAAATTTATACATTCTTGTTCCGGCTTGTTTTAGCATCAACGTACAAGGAAAACCTGATCGGGTTAAGTCCGAAAATGAGTCAATAAATATGAGACAACGTACACTACATTACCATTCTACAAATGAGATATAGGCTGCGCCTGGACTTAAAGCGAGAAAGCTGAAGCGCGCGGAAGCTTAGAGCGAGCTGACGCGTGTAGGTGGCCAGACACAACGCAAGGTGGTGCGATCAGTTGCAACGATGGCGTCTCGGCGGTAGTGCAGCTTAGTGATTCTTCTTACCTCAAGCATTTACAATAACAACGTTCGAATACAAAAATGGGCATTCATCCCATCAACGCATAGCGCCATGAATATGCAGAATACCATCAGTTGTTTCATGAATTGAAAAAGGACGCCCAGTAATTTAAGGAATATACAGGAATGACGATGGAAACTTTCGACCTCCTACTCAGCATCATCAAGAAAGAAATGTACAAACAGTCTACCAACTGGAGGCGCGCCATTACACCAGAGGAACGTCTTGTTGTCACGATAAGGTAAGGAATAATCGTATGGATTTCATTAAACTGCTATACTTTATTGAAATTTTCATACTTTAATCCATGACTACAAAGCATATCATACTAACTGCATTTATGACTGTTTTTAATAAACTGTGCCAGTAGTACTAAAAAAATATTGTGCAAAAACATAGTAACCGATGAGAAATACAATTCTAATTTTAATTTGTTAACATATTACAGAGGTTGTTGATCCTCGCCATGTAAAAACTGGAAAGCCAATTCCTGTACTTTTATTCGAAACATGCACTGTTTCCTAGGTGTCATGTTTTTCATGGAAGGTACTAGACTCAACAGAAACTGACGACAATCGTCAGCTTCATCACTCTGGTCTTTACGGAGCAATTCAAGCTTTTCCTTTTCTAGATCAAAAAAATTCTGATGGAAATTGGACTCTACTTTCTTTTTCTTACTAATTGGTTCAAGTGAATTTGTTACCGGTAACTGTTCTGCATCAACCGAGGTTTCTCCGCTACCGGGGCTTTTGGGAAACGAAGTAGAGGTAATGCTTGCATCATGAATTTCAACCTGAAATTCATCCATGCAAGATTGCTGCAGTATCATTTCACGATTGCAAGATTGCTGCAAAGTACCACTTGTTTTTCGTCGATGCATCTGATCTTTGAGGAAAAACATCATTTTGAAGAAAGGCCATGTACCCGTGTACTCCTCTGGAAGCAATTCAGGGTCTCCTGACTTTCCATGGGGAACTTTTTTCAGTTCTGTCCGGAAGTGGTCTCTGAGGCATTTATACTTCTTCCGGGCGACAGATTCTGCGGAAAATATATTTAATTAAAAAACATTGAATATCATTTGAATTAGGCACAAACACTTCAACTCCTATTGAATTAACATTATTTACAGGGCCACTGGTAAACATATTTTACTGTCAATAGGACATAGATATATTACGGTACTCGACAATGGTCTGTTATGTTAAGGTATTCGATTGCAACAAAGATATTAATATAGATTTTTTTTCTTTCAGACATCTGGCAACCGGGGCTTTGTTCCGGTCTTTGGCATTTCAGTTCAGAATTGGAAGATCCACAATATCTACAATTGTTACAGAGACGTGTGAAGCGATTTGGAAGAATGTTCAGCCAATTTACATGCCATTTCCCGATAGAAAGTTGTACATGGAAACAGCCAGGCAATTCAATCTCAAGTGGAATTTTCCAAACTATTTCGGTGCAGTCGACGGCAAGCACATTCGCTTTGAAGCTCCTCACAAGTCAGGATCATTGTACTACAATTAGAAAGTTTTTCTCTCTTGTTTTGCAAGGTGTAGCAGATCATAAATGTAAGTTCGTCACTGTCGACATTGTTGCGTAAGGCAGGCAGAGTGATGGCGGAGTATTCAGAAACAGCGATCTAGCTAAATGTCTAGATATCAATGCATTTGATTGCCCCGTTTCGCAACAGCTTCCTGGATCTGAAGACAAACCCCCATTTGTCATTGTTGGGGATGAAGCTTACCCACTACTACCATTTTTAATACGTCCTTACCCTAGACAAATTTTAGACCAGTCAAAGAAAATTTTCAACTATCGCCTATGTAGAGCCCGGCGATGCGTTTACTGCGCGTTTGGCAATATGACCGCAAAGTTTAGATTACTAACGGAGTCTATCGAAACAAGTGTTGAACATGCAACAGTAATTGTAAAAACCATTAGTGCTTTACACAATAAGATTCTAGCTCGAGAAGGCATCGACACTGAAGCAGCAATAGGTGTCGAGGATCTGTGTGAAATAGTAAATACCTGAACACCAACTGCTGAAAGAAATAGCCCGAGATATTCTATCAATGTACGTAACACTTAGACTACTTACTTGACTTCTCCCATTGGGAGTGTTCCATGGCAGGCATACATCTAGGTTAAAAATAAAGTTACTACTAGTACATATATAAATGAAAGAAAATGACGTTTTATTGACCTTACCTGGAATACTCAATGCATCACATATCTGCGACCAGCTGTCATTGATGTACTGACGATCACTGTGCTTGGGGTGCGAGGCGTCCCAGATAGCCGGCACGGCTTGGACGGAGCAGATCAAAGCTTCGACATCCATGCTCGACGACGTCTCAGGGGCAACTACACGCGCGTGCTCGCGCTTGAATATTTAACTCAACAAATCTACAAGCTTCGCGCCTCAGCAAGCGCCGCGGGTGCTTGCGTGAGCGCGCCTCCTATCTGGCCACCCCTATGGGATTGTTTGAATATAATATGGTCGCTTCAGCGCGCTTACGCTCTCGTGCGCTTTCTCGCTTTCTGTCTGGCCGCACCCATAGCGCACTGAGGATTAGCAAACAAAACTTTATTGGAAATTCATTGTCCAACTAAGATTTCTAATGAATTCCTGGCAAGGCTTGTTCTAGTGCTGACATTCGTTTTAAAGTGGCCACAGATGTAGTAAAAAGTAGAAATGGATAACCTAACAATAGATTTAAGATAGAAAGATTTAAGATTAGATAAATTTAAATCAGTACATTGTGATTTGATTCATATTTGATGGACTTTTATGCATAAATAACTCAATAATGGAGAATGGCTTTTGAAAATTGAAAACAAAAATCAAAATGATGCATTTAAAAAATTTCTTAAAATTTCCACTTTTTGCAGAAATGCAGAAAATGGTTTGATTGGAAAATTGTTTGAGAAGAATTCTTCAGGTTGTTAATTTTTACATTAAAAATTAATGAAAATTGTTTGAGAAGAATTCTTCAGGTTGTTAATTTTTACATTAAAAATTAATAAGAGCTAATTAATTTTCAAACAAATTTGTTTTGTTAGACCCAATAGTGCATGCAGACAAATGAAAATACTACAGAAAATCTATTATGATGAAAAACATGATTTAACAGCTACTAAACGAAGGTTCACCTAAAAATTATAATTTGTTCCCAAAATATAGAACAATGTCAAAGAAGAGAAAAATTACTAAGAAGTAAATTGCATTTGAAATTCCAGAGTCATTTAACTTCAGGCCTATAAAGCTATTAGCTCTGGTGCTTACAAGGAGTTCGTATTTGTTACATCTTCACTTTGAACAAGTTCAATGAAAAAAGTTTATTGATATGAGCCAAATAAATTTGCAGAGGGACTGGGGGAGAGGCTGAGATCCCCTAGCAGGTCAATACCTGCCCCCTGCAGATACCAGTACGTACTATTATTCAATCGGACATTTTTCCTGCAGTGTTCTTTCTTTAATTTCACTCATTGTTAAGAGTAATGCTGCCAAAATGAGACCTCAATTGATTATGCAACAATCACAAACTAGCTTCATTGCACTTAACACTTTGGTTGACAAGCTAGCATTATACCTATAGGTGTTAGTACTTAAAATCCCTGCCCAGAAAGCCCACCACACACCATGGTTGGTGTTTAATGTTTCCTTATCATGCCTCTGCAATTAACAATCAACTGCCTATTATTCCATTACAGCATTACGGCCAACAACTCTTGGAGATTAAAATATCTGCATTTGAATAAAGAAATTACACAAACACCAAAATTTACATTTTTTCTGTATTATTTTGAATTACAAAAGGAGCAATTTTTCTCAATTAATATCAAAAATTTGATATTGAATCATATTAAAGTTAATTGCTCCTTCAATACATAAAATATTGAAAAATGCTCATGAGAACCATAACAATAAATAATAATTCTTGCACTAGCCCCAAAAATTCAGATTCAGCCTTAGTGTATGTTTGCCTGCCAGCAGGTTAATGGTAAACTTTAACATTGTTATTATAAAAATGACATAAATTTTCATAATTTGGTAAATTTATATAAACAATGCTGTACATATATTACAATGTATTTGTTAGTAATGATAATCAAGTTTTACTCTTGTCATCAGCACAATATTAGATCAGCATATTAATTGAAACAAAATCAAGTTCCTCGTAGAATAGCCATAAAAAGCCAGGTACATTGAAAATCAGAGGGCAATTAAGTTTTTTATTTCATAATTACAAATGATAAGGACATACAGCAGTTAATAACTATTCATATTTCATGCCAGAATAATTTATATGAAAGACACTGTTTGAAATTTGGCTAACAAGTTCATGATTTGCAATACAGTGATAAACTAATCCCGCAAAAATTTTTTATAAATATTCAGAATCCCTTAAATTGTATTTATTGTTTGTATATGAAACTTCCAAATTAAATGAACTGTTCATCTTGCCGCACAAATGAAAAGCCAGAGGAGTTCTGAAGACAGAGCATATACTATAAGGCTAAAGGCTAATGTTATCCTGTTATCACCAAATAACAACTGTGTACAAGATGTCTTCAAAAATATTTACAGTATCTGAGTAAGCTGAAGACTCATAAAAACTAGAGGGTTTTGATAAATTGGCCAATTTTACATTTCAATGAATAATAAATAAGCCTTTTGTGAATATAATAATGAACAAGTGGTGGCTATGTCAAAACCGTATGTCAAATGCACAAGTGAATCCTATTCAAACTAAACAACTTGCTACCCAAACTTGGCTGTTACCTGCATACCATCATAATTCTTACACATAAACTAACATCTCCTCACCCAAGACGAGCTTGTCCTGAATATTGTTTTTTTTTTTAACTTATCTGCAAGTGTTTGGCATTCCAGTAAATAACAATTGTTCATTCAACTCAATATGCTAAATGAGGGATGCATGTAAAGCGCAGGCAAAAATTTCACTCCAACCTTCAACAATACTCATGAGTTATTGAATTGTTGTGACCCAGCAGTATCATTCAGGATCATGAGGAAGTTTGAAGCCTACCATTCTGGCAGTTTCTTCAACTGTTCTCTCTGGGTGGTGGAATTCATCATAAAGTTCTTTGTACCTGCAGAGGTCAAATAGTAATAAAAAATCAGAACAATAAAATAATGGTATGAGTGATCCAAGAAATAATTTCAAAAATAATGAGCAGTGTTGTCCAATCAACTTCAAATGAGCCAAATACTTGAAGAAGAATTACCATATTTTTGCTTTAAATGTTCATTATGTGGAAGGTTCTAGTGAACTTATGAACATTAAGGATTCTTTTAGCTTAATTTGGAGTAAAGAATGGAATAAATTCAAAGTGCACAACATTACCTCAGTCCAGCATCCAGATAAGTAGCATAAGTCTCAGCAATGAATGCCATTTCTTGTTGTTCTTGACAATACTGGGCATCTGTCACAGAGTTTTTCCTGTACTGTTCCATTATGTATGCATATGTGGGGCTTTTATTAATTGCTTGGGCATTTCCATTATTGTGCCTAACATGTCGCAAAATAGTTCTTAGAGACGACAGCTTCTTCATAGACAGGGCTGCCATTTTGGATATATGTAAATTTTATAATTCATGCAATTCTCCAAAAATTGTAATGTAATTCATGTCAAATAACTTCAATAACAAACAATCTGAAAAAAAATTTCCTTAATTTTGTACACTGCAACATTACATTTTCCAGCTTAAATGAATGCCTAAAGCATCCATTTGATCCAACACTGAATTTTGAAATGGTTGATCAAACTTTTCTTTCCAAAAATTTATTATTTTAATCCCATCTAATTCTGGCAACTTCAAGCCCAAGGTCAAGTAGGAACTAGACACATTTGTTAGTCTACATAACACAGTATTGGAATTTCCTTGTTCACATGTTGTAACACAACACATAGGTATTATTGAGATGAATGCGGCACTTTTTATGCTGTTACTGGTGTGACCATTGGTCTGGCCAAGTTTGTAGGTTTCTTACATAATAATATTGTTTCATTAATATTTTTTAAACATACTGTGCTAGTTTTTGGCTTAGTACAAAGAACTACCTATAGCATTTTCAAAAACTTTGCAGGAACCAGGCAGGTGGGCATCATTGGCTGCCTGGTCAGCAGCCTAATGGCCCTCAATACCATGATGGCCTGCAACATACTCAATGCGCACCTCATAGCAGGGCATTAGTGACATGATTTATTTTGTGAATCAAATATTAAGGGGAGCATGTCAGTCAAAAAAACTTTTTTATTTACAGACAGATTGTTATGAAACTTTGGACACATATGGAAAATATAAATCAATGACTTTTTTCAAGTAAATTAAAAAAAAGAAAACATGGCAAAAAAAAATGGCCAGAAAGATGGTACTACTGTAGAAACCTATCTCCTCCTAGGATTTTCAAGATACAACATCAAGATTATGCATTTGATGCGTAAAGACCAGATCTAATGATAATTACAATCAAAACAAAATACAAATTGAAAAAACTGGCCAGCTGATCTAAAAAGATTTTATTTAATAATCAAATGGTATAGCTCTCAATGCTGTAGCTTGAAAATCATAGGAGATAGGAATTTCAGTTGTTCAGGGGAGCCAAATAAGTAAAATTTATTGAAAAAAGAAGCATATGACAAAAATTGCTTGATATTGTAGCCCAAGCTTTTCAGGTGCCAATTGATTGCATTTAGGGTACCAGACTTATTCCTGTCCAGTTTAACATGAATAATAAGCAATAAATGTGACTTTTTTACATTAAAACAAATAAAAAATGTTTCATCAAATGGGGTAATAAGGGACGGGCGGGGTAAATCAGGACGCACATCCCACATTTCACTGAAATGCTGTAGCAGCTAAACAAATCAAAATATCGCAAAACTAAAAATAGTGATATAAACGTCAACATTTTTAGTATCTATTATGTATAAAGCTGGTTAAGCAATCATACATTTACTATCTCTAAAAAATCACTGAAAAAAAGTGTGAAAAGTGCAATTTTGGAAAAGTACCTCTACTAAGGTCTGGAGCAACAAAAATATTTGCTGTATTAAAAAATTTTTCTTACATAAAAGTTGCACACAGGTGTCAGCTTGAAAACGCGATTGACAAAATTTGCCCATCTCATCAAAAAAAAAAGAACAAAAAATTGCAGCCATTGCCGCACAATGGGGTAATAAGGAACACCCCCCCCCCTCGGGGTAATAAGGGACACCAATAAAAAAACATTTACAGTTTAACCTAAGATAGCAAAAGCTCCAGTTAACAAAAAATATTGATTAACAACAAAGAATTTTGAGTACATTTACCTTGTTCAGCAAAAAAAAAATTCACTTGTCAAAAAATTAATGCATCATCAGTCATCACAAAATTGTGCACAAATTGTCATATGTTAGTATCAGAAGGCAGAATAAGCTTGTTTCAACACGGGTGGTTAATGGCCAGAGAATTCTTCAATTTAAAATTTTCAGGGTCGAACAATATTCTTCAGATGACATTAGTTGATCAAAATGCAGGTTCAAGGGAGTAATATCACTTTATTAACGACGTTTCGAATGTAACAACATTCATTGTTACAAATTGTCATATAGGTATAGAATTGTGCACTGGGCATCATAGAATGAAAAGTAATTAACCTAAACTATGTCTTCTTTCTTCAAAACATACCATCAACCGGGGCTACTCAGGACGATTTTGAAAGTTTTTCATTCATAACTTCTTACCATGAAACATTTCATAAACAAGTTTAGGATCATTTCAAAGCTCTTTGCAAGGGCTATTGCATGGCTTCTCCAAAAAAATTCTATATGCTATGTGTAAAGTGCCAGAAGCAAAAAAAGAGTGTCCTGAGTAGCCCTGTCAAACGGGGCTACTCGGGACACTTGGAATAAAACTTAATTTTAAAACATTTGAAGCATGCAGAGTGTACTCATCCATTACTAACAGTACTCTAAAGTCCTCTTCTTCCATTGTAGATGATGTAGAGGTAGAATAAATGACATTTTCTGTGATTTTTACTTGTTTTTCCTATACTGATATGATATTACCATATACATTAATAACCGGATTATTGATGCAATATTACCATATTCATGAACAGGCCATTGAGCATTTCAACTACCTTGTCCACTGCAAGCTTCATATCAGCAGCCTTAAAGCATTTTTTCTGTATCTGTAAGCTTACAGGATGGCTTGTAATTTCACACCATTTTAATTGGTCAAGTGAATTTACTATAAAAAAAGATCGTGAAAAACATACCTGAAACAGAGAGGAATGTTTTAGTGACAACCATCATATGTTTAGGTCAATTACTTTTCATTCTATGATGCCTGGTGCACAATTCTATATATGACATTCTATGCACAATTTTGTGATGACCAACAATGCACTAATTTTTCGATAAGTGAAATTTTTTTTGCTGAGCAAGGTAAATGTAATCAATATTCTTTGTTTTCAATCAATTTTTTCTTAACTGGAGCCTTTGCTAACTGAGGTTCTACTGCAAATGCGTTTTTACGGGTATCCCAAATAGCCCCGGGGGGTGTCCCGAGTAGCCCCACTGTGCGGAAATGGCCGCCATTTTTTTTTGATTGAGGTATGTAAATTCAACAAATAAAGTTTTCATGCTGACAATTGTCTGCCACTTTTTTCTAAGCAAAATTTTTTAATACGGCAAATATCTTTTTAATACAGACCTTAGCAGAAGTAACTTTCCAAATACCTATCGTTTTCACAATTTTTTTCAGGAATTTTTCAAAGTTAGTAAATGTAGTATTTTTGAACTTCCTTTATACTACATAGATAGGAAAAATGTTGACGTTCATGCCACTATATTGAGTTTTGCAATATTCCAATTAGTTTTGCTACTAAAACAGTTTTACGCCGTGTCGGAGGACTGTCCCGAGTTACCCGCCCGTGCCGTCCCGAGTAGCCCGGTTGATGGTATAATGGTTGTTTCTAAAACATTCCTTTCTGTTTCAGGTATGTTTTTTATGACCTTTTTTATAGTAAATTCACTTGACCCAATTAAAATGGTGTGAAATTACAAGCTGTCCTGTAAGCTTACATACAGATACAGAAGAAATGCTATATGGCTGTTGAAATGAAGCTTGCTGTGGACAAGGTCATTTTAAATGCTCAATGACATGCTTATGGATATGGTAATATCACATCAATAATACGGTAATGAATGAATATGGTGATATATCAATAAAGGATAAACAAGTAAAAAACACAGAAAATGTCATTTATGTTACATCTACATCATCTACAATAAAAGAGGAGGACTTCAGAGTACTGTTAGTAATGGATGAGTAGACTTTGCATGCTTAAAACATTATAAAATTGAGTTTTATTTCAAGTGTCCCGGATTACCCCGTTGCCAGGGGTAATTTGGGAGGGTTTTATTTTGCGTCTGGAACCTTACAAATAGCATATGGAATTTTTTTGAAGATGCTATTTGATAGCCCTCGCAAAGAGCTATAAAATGAGCTTAAACTTGTTTATGAAATGTTCCATGGTAAGAAGTTATTAACAAAATGCTCGAAACAGTCCCTTATTACCCCATTTGACAGTTCATTTTATACAAGTTCAAAACAGCCTAAACCAAATGAACGTTGCATGTGCATCCATGGTATTTGCTTTCCTGAATGTGCATAGTTTGTAGCTTTCAAACAAGTGCAAACACTTTGTAAATAATGCAAATAATGATCTATTAACACTTTAACCACATTGTGACCCATATGTGGGTCACGCGTGTCTGTCTCAACCTGCATTGTGACCCACATATGGTGCACACCCTTAAATTTATAATAATTCATTAAACTTCAATATTGACCTCCTCAATCACATTTTAGGTGTTGTAAGTAAAGGATAATGATGACAATAATGTATACTAAGCATATATTTTGCGTGTAGCGAGTAAACATTATTAATCATTCTTTGTTGAACTTGAGTCCTTAGGCGCTTTACGACGAAATGGAATGCTTCCGATTGAAGCGTGATACGCACAGATATGGTTTATTTTCACAAGTGTCGCAATAAGTGTTTATCTTGCAAGTTTTTGAACGGGCTACTTTAGTTCCTTCTGCACTGGCAATTTGGCTGTAGTAAGACAGACATCTCTTCCTCTTCTTACTTTTAGGCCCATCAGCCTCAACCAATTCATGAGATTTGCGCTTTCCTGAGATGTTTGATCTACCTGGACCTGGGTTCAGATTCTCTTTAGTGATTCCGCAAATGAGTGACATTGCAAGACTCTCTTTAAATTTCAGAATTGACGTTTTTCTTCGTCGCTGCAGGAGACAAAATTGGTTATAAATAACCCAAGCATTCACAATTGAAGTTCCTAACAGCAATTCAATGGCAAGTTTTCTGTACCATTTGGTGCTTTTTCTGAGAACTGAATT